CAGCGCGCGATGCAGATTCGATTGACGTATTCCAAGTCTATCATAGCATATTTTTTTCACATGAAGGAGTAAAAGTCCCCTCGATGACGCTCGCCACTGTGAATGAATCCGCCAGTGAGAACAGCTGTTTTGCTCACTGGCGACTTTCACTGGATGATCAAATTGAAAACCGTGCCAACGACGAGTTGCCTGGTGCCTTATGTCTCCATCCTGTAGTGCACATCCCTACCATCTCAAGCTGGCCAACACGACTCGCTTCAGTTGCACATACGAGTGCCTGACGACTGCATGCATGAGTTGGAGCCACCATGGCGACCACCAGCACGCATGGGCCGCGTACACTGTCTGCAAATACACGACAATTTGGATGTGACCTCGCGACACTGCCGCGTCCAGAACTGCCGGTTGATACGGCGGTCTCAATCTGCTTGCGCAGAGAAACTTGACAACGTCGAGGGACCCAGCCCACGCGGCGCCGTACAGGGCGTCAGCGCTGCAACCTTCGGGTCGAATGCTTTGCATGTACGCAGCAACGTCGAGCCGATCGTACATGAGCGCATACGTCAGAGCGTCGCCTGTGCATCCCTCCGTTCGGTTTTCGTGCAAGAACTTGACGATATCCAAGTGGCCGTTTCGAGCAGCCACGTCCATGGCTTGGGTTGTGCAGCCTTCGCGGCGGTGATGATGCAAAAATGCCACGACGTCCATGTGGCCGTGCGCTGCCGCACTGTCCATCGCAAACACTGTGCACCCTTCGCTTCGATTGGCATTCAGAAACGACACGATGTCCAGATGGCCACGCGAGGCAGCACCGTTCATGGCTCGGACCGTGCATCCTTCTGTACGGTGGGTGTGAAGGAATTTCACGACTTTGAAGTGCCCTTCTGTCGCTGCGTAATCCATTGCATCCGACGTGCATCGAAGCTCAGGTCGAGATGAAAAGAACTCGAGGACATCCAAAGCTCCACGTTCGGCCGCAATATCCATCACAGTCGGAGTCAATCTCTCGTGCATGTGCCTGGCCATTAGGTGCAATGTGTTCATACGTGCACTTGTTTCCAAGGAGCTCAGCAAGTCGTTCACAAGACTTGCCCACTTCCAAGTCGCGTCAGATTGGCGGTACCCGCCAAGATCTTTCCACCCTCGAGCGTATGGGATAAGTACTTGGGCGGTTCCTTCTTGGTACGACGCAATGAGCTCCACAGCTCCATGCAATCGGAGGACTTGGGCAGCAGCTGCCATGTTGGATTTTGTCCTTAAAGCCGCGAGATTGTGTCACGGAATGTTCCAATCAAACAGCTCCAGGTCGTTTGTAGTCGCCCAATCAAACCGTCGATTCCGCTATCCAATCAAAGTTCATCATATGCTTGATATTCCTATTTTTATCCAATGGAATCGTGATAATCTCAACGACGGGAGCCAATCATCGTACAAGCGTTTGGCCATGTCAAGGAACAGCCGCGCCGGTAGCACAGCGCGGCCGTCGGCGGCTGGTGGATCTGCGTCGGCCCGGCGGGCGTGGTTTGATGCTTCTACAATGACGCTCGTAAACGTGGCACAGGAGCGAGCGAAAAAGGCGAAAGGAGGCAAAGGTGGCGACGACCGCAAGGAAGCGAGGCAGCGGTCGTCCGCACTATCGACGAGTTCCGACACCGTCGGTGTGTCGTTCGCTGGGGCTGCGTTCCAAGCCGACTACTTTGCATCTAAATTTACCAAGCGTGGACAGCTTGTGTACACCATTCTTCACGACGTCTTGTCCAAGAACCAAGTGGTGCTGCCACAGGCAGACACAATATCGGTCGCATCGTTTGGGGGCGGTCCTGGCACCGACGCGGCTGGAATTGTGTGGATTCAGCGTGACTTCTTCCCTTTGTCGTCGGTGCATTGCATCTTGTACGACTACGAAACCTCATGGAAGCGGTATGCGAAGACGTTGGATGACTTGTACGGCAATGCAGTGTCGGTCTCGTTCGCGCCGTGCGATGTGACGCACCCACTCGGGACCGACCCAAACCGTCGCGTCACGGACATCGAGTCAATGGACGTCCTTTTATTCTGCTTTGTGTGCCATGAAACGTCAGCACGACAGCGCAACCTGCAGTTCTACTTGGACATCGCGGCAGGCGCCCAGGCTGGGGCGCTGGTCGTGCTAGCAGACGTCAAGACCAAGTCGAAGGAATGCTTGGAGCAAGTGACGCACGCCATGAGCAGTGTTCGCCGAATCCAGCGCTTGCCGTTGTCCAAGCCCCCCACAGCTGAAGCAATCGTTTTTCGCTTTGAATCGTAATCGTTGAGCCTATCTCCGATGGCAACGATAGCTGTATTTTCCGGATAAGCGAAAATACCGGAACGAAATTCAAAATCGTTTACCAACTGACCAAAATGCCGCTCCTGCCGACTGACCCTGCCGTCGGTGTACACTCGATGGCCGGTAAAGCGTCGTGCTGCTATGTGGACAGCATGAACGTGGCGTTCGACATGGGAGTCAACTTTCTCAAGTCCGCGGTGCAAGACCACGTGTTCATCTCTCACGGCCACATTGACCACATCCAAGCTCTACCGGCGCATGCGGCCGAACGCCAACTCAACGGCATGAAACCTGCAACGTACTACATGCCATCACATCTTGTGCAGCATGTTGAGAGCATCATGGCGAGTTATTCCAAAATGCAAGAGGTTCGTGCTAAAGTTGTGGATGTCCTGTGAACACGGTGGTTCTCGGTAGACTGAAATCCAAGCGGTTCTCGTCGGCGTAGATGCAGGAGCCGTTGTGCATGTTTCGTCAAGGGTTGCTGTCAAAGCGTTTGAAACGGTGCACCGAGTGGCGAGTCTCGGCTACGTCGCGTACGCCATCTCCAAGCGGTTGAAGGCCGAGTTCGCTGGACTATCCGGGCGTGAGATCGCGGTGTTGCGAAAGCAAAACGTTGTACTTGAAGACATCGTGTGGACGCCCACTGTCGCGTACACTGGCGATACCTCCATCGAGTTCTACGACGACCCTGGCTGTTGCTCCGAATTTCTGCGCTCTCGTGTCCTCGTCACAGAGGTAAGTGTGTTGCTCGGTCTTGGACGAGCCCTGAAGTCTTGCCCAGTGCACATTTTTAGGCGACACCCCTGTCGAAGCAAAAGCCGACGAAACCGGCCACATTCATTTGAACCAACTCGCCCGCCGCCTTGCACTCTTCCAAAACATATCGTTGGTGTTGACGCATTTTTCGATGCGCTACAGCTTTCACGACATCCGAAACACATTAACGAGCCACCTCTTGCCCCGTGAACACACACTTGCGAGTCCAAGTACCCCCAATCCTCCTTCGATTGCCATCTTCATGGCACACGGAGACCGATGGGCTTCTATTTCGCATTCCGACGTGGAAGACCCCGCGGCTCCTCCACCTTTATCGACGTCTGACTCGCCACCATCAATACTAGATCATAGCTCATCGACGAAGGGACTCTGACCTTCGATACGTAACTTTACAATCAGTGGCGTTCATATACGCGGACGATGTGCCTGTCGAGCTAGAGCGAAAGCTGCCACGTATGCGAGGAGTGATTTTTGCTTTTAGTTGGCATTTTGGATGAGTTGCTGCAGTTTGTCGGCGTATTCTGCGGACTCAAAGCGGATGCAGTACGTCGTAATCTTGGACGCATCGACGAGCACCGGCATGATGATGCTCTTGCCCTTTACGACGGCACTTGGGATCGAAGACAGCAGTGAATTGAGCAGGAGCTGCGTTCCGGCCTTGAAGTCACTCGTGGCGCGCCGCATGACAACGCGACCACGCGTGGATTTATCCTTGGGCTCGAGCACCTTGAACGGTCCACCACCACACTCGACGTAATCCTTGTCTACGAGCTTGTACAGCTTGGCTGTAGTCTACGACGAATCGCACCGTAAACACATGAGGGTACACCGACAGAGACCCGTACCACAAGCAGCACATCTTCGTCCTCTTCGCCGGTCATGTGCTGGTAATCCTTGGGCAGTTCGACCTTGGGAACGATCAGGTGCTGGACTTCGACTTTGTCTGCCTACCACGCAAGGCGATGAACATGACCACAACACCTTTAACACGACTGTACTTCGGCATTCAAGAAGTCTGCGTTCGTGTCGTTTGCATCGGTCCAAGTGGAGCTTTCGTCCGTCTTGTCACCACCAAATGTTGCTGCAGTGGATTCCGACGACGACGCCGTAGTCTCAAACCCACCACTGGACCTACCAAATCCACCAGATCCAAATCCAAGCCCCGTGGAGGATGATGTCCCAAATCCACCGCTTGCAAACGCTGCAAAGCCCGTGGAAGGCGCTGTGGACGTGGGGGCGCCAGGCTGACGTCCAAGTTAGTTGTGCCTTCCTGAAGAAACGCGAGAATGCACCTGAAAAGGATTCGTGTTGGCAAATGCCGAAAATCCAAACGCGGACGTTGCTGGCGCTGCTTTGTTCTGGAGGAGAGAATATACGTCTTGAAAAGCAACAATGGTCGGTATTTACCTGGTCGTCCTTGGTGTGTGGTTTGCTTGGACTTGCCGTTTTCTTCGACGGACTCACGGGAAGGGCATCCGCCTCTTCTTCTTTGTGTCCCCGATCAGTGCCATCGTGACCTTCAGTATTAACGCGCGGACGTTTGTTCAGTGGAGACTTAGCATGTGGGGACGACATGGACGCGGCCTTGTTCATGCGGTCCAAAATGGAGTGCGAGTTTGTTGGCGGCTGGTTCGGGCCCTCTGATTGGTCCGTTCACACCGTTGCGAGAAATTTTGTATTTTTATATATATCGAAATCTTGCTCAATTTGGATATATTAAATTCATGGGCAGAAGGACCACGGGTCGGCAAATAGCCCTTCGACTCGAAGCTTAAGCATGCTGCGATGCCGCGCTGCAGGCATACGTCTGTGTCTCCTTCTCAGCGGCGACAGGCTGTAGGAAGCGATGGTCCAACGGATGCTGGCCATGCACTGACGACGGCGATGGCGACGAGGACCTGGCCCATCGTACGCTCTCATGGACGCAGTTGCAACGCGCCCTGCATTCACTGCAGGCCTCCATTGCTTGTTTGAACCGTCGTGGCGTCAAATACATGCTGGACTCAACCGGATGTGACGCCACGCATGTGTACGGCCGGGCGGTCTTGATGTTCGATGGATGGTGTGCCTGGGGCGTGTATGCTCGCGGGATGACAATCCTTTTGAGCTCCGGCGGAGGGAGTAAGGTCGGACCGTCGGAAAGTGTTGGGGGCGGTGGGGTCGGATCCGGGGATGGCTCGAGGATGGGTTTTTGCGGCCACCGCATGTATTTGTCGTCCTAGTTTCACCATTTGATTTGATGGCATTTCGGTTGTTGTGCATCCCTACCTCCCATTGCTCGTCGCCATCCACGTATCGGACAAAGTACCCTCGAGTTGGATCGTACTCGACCACATTCCCCGCGAACCATTCGCCTTCATCCGGCCAATGCACTTCCACGGCTAACCCGCATGGAAACTTTGCCAAGGGCGGCGAAGTTGTCGCGGCGTGGGCCATGCGTTCCTTGGCAGGACTCAAACTAGCAGCTTCAAATGACTCGTCATCGTACGAACTCTCCTCAAGCGGCTCCACCCCCGGTGGCTTCGTCGTTCTCCGTGGAGACCTGGACTGACGCCGCTGCACCGCGCCATCGCTCTCAACTTCGTCCTCCACGAATTCGTCAAACGATTCGTTGTAATCGCTCATTCCTCCAACTCCAGGTCAGACTCGGTGAAACTGGTGGCGGTTTTCTTCCACGCGGCGAATGCGCCACTTGACGCGCTTTCATGCCAATCCCTTCTTGCTTCGAGCTGCGTCCTGCAGTTCCTGTGGTCGTTTGTCGTCGACGCCACCTGCCGTCCGCACGCCGACTGCTACTGGGACATACCCAGTTGCAGGCCACGTCACCCTCTTATCCGGATGGAAGAGATTATCCGGTTCCTGTCGTTTGTGGCCGACGTGGTGAAAATCCACGCATCAACATGGCGAAAACTCCGGGAAGTGGCAAGGGGTCCAAGACACCGCCATCGCGCAGTCAGAGCAGTAAAATGGACAACGCGGCGCTCATAGAGGAGATCCAGCGCCTCCAGCCACCGCCACAACAGCCGACACAGTGGAGGCGGTGGCTGGGTGCAGCAATTCTTTTCGTGGCAGTACACTTCGCGCTCGTGGTAATGCTCTTGCAGGACGCCGATCCTGGATATTACTACTCGAAGCGGTACCCAAACATTGGGAACATCGACTTCGCAACAGATGCCCCGTTCATGGGATACCCTCCGATAGACGTTGTGTACACGTGGGTCAATGGGTCAGACCCTCGATGGAAGCGGGAGAAGGATCACTGGCATCGCCGATGGAAGGCGCAGATTCAAGGTGAAATCTTTGACGAAACGGACGACTCCGTAGTGTTTGATGCGTCCGCCGCGGCAACGGAGAATCGGTTTCGCGACAATGAAGAGCTGCGATACTCGCTACGATCGATCGAAATGTACGCGCCGTGGGTGCGCCACGTGTACTTGGTCACGGACGGTCAGATCCCGAACTGGCTCAACGTCGACTCTCCTCGGCTCACGATCGTGCCGCATCGAAGCATCTTTCTCAACCAGTCGCACCTGCCCGTGTTCTCGTCGCCTGCAATCGAAGCCAATTTGGATAACGTCCCTGGGCTGTCGTCGCACTTTTTGTATTTCAACGACGACGTGTTTCTCGGCGCCCCAGTCACGCCAGAAGATTTCATCTCGCCTTCGGGCATCCAAAACATCTACTTGTCTTGGGAAGTGCCGGAATGCAACCGTGGGTGCAGAGAATCGATGCTCGCCAACAACGTGTGCGATCCCTTGTGCAACACGACTGCGTGCGCGTTTGACATGGGCGACTGTGGCTGCCACGAAATTCCCACCTCCGTACGCCAACTCGATTTTCTTCCATGACCGATCCATTGGCTCGTCACGCCAGTTGTAGGACCCGCTAGTCTACGACGTCCTCTGCACACCTCCACCGCCGACAGAAGACGCCACCGACGAAGCGTCGAGCACCGCTACACCCGCCGTCGAGCCGGAAGTGACGGCAAATCCGGTCCACTGCGTCGACGGGTGTTCGTGGACGTGGATCGGCGACGGAGCGTGCGATGTGTTGTGCAACGTCAGCCAGTGCGCATTTGACGCGGGCGACTGCTCCTTGCGTGCGCTGCAAGACCTCCCGACGCTCAACCTGACGACGGAGTCCCCCAACACGACGTTCGGCGTGTACGTGCCTTTGCCATCCAACGCGCTTGTCGTACACTTGCCCACGCCGTTCTTCGAATACCTCGATCGGTCAACTCTAGTCGGCACGGACCTCGTCCGCCACGCCGTCCTTCTCGAGCAAAACATGACTCTTGTGCTAGTGTTTGCCAGGGACGACACGACGGGCTCCCCAACGAACGGCGCTGTCATCTCTGTCGAAGGCGAGCTGGCCGACGAGTCGACGGCGGTGTGGACGTTGCATGTGCTCCGCGGAGATCGCCCGATGAATCACGACGGCGCCTTCACCGTGCTCTCATCAGACTTGGAAGATGTGCAAATCTCACGTCGCCCCCACGCGAACCTGCCGGCACTGGTGGATTTGCAGGTCGCATTGCCGTACCACGCGGTGCCAGATTGGTCCATGTCGCTGTTCGTGACGAACACGCTCGAGCCGACGATGTCGAGCATTTGCCCACCGATTCGACCGGAACCAAATGTTGCAGCGCGGCCTGAAGGTGAGCTTCCTGTCGACCCGACGGCCGTCCATTGTGTGTTGGATGATCGCTACGTCATCGTGGAGTGGCAATGGAATGCCACGTCCGACAACGGATCGTTTCTCAGCGGTGAGATATGCACATTCAACGGACAGATAAAGTCGTGTGCGCTTGCGGTGTTGTCACTGGAAGGCGGAGTGCAATGGGTCTCGATCCCGCCTCCACGCAAGGCCGCCCTGCCGTCGATCGAGTGGACGGGGGAATGGGATTCATATGATGATTGCGACGTGCTCGACTGGTTTTACGGGACTGCGGGCGTTTTGCGTGGCCAGTGTTCTTTCGTGCCCAACACGAGCGACGCGTCGCCGTTCTTGCCACCGGTTCCACCAGACGTCCCGGCGGTCGATCCAGACGTCACGAAGAAGGCGAAGGCGATGTGCTCCAGCATTGCCCGGCGCTTGAAAGCCCGAGCAGACGAAGATGCTTCGTCGTCGTGGGTGTTGTCCAAGGTAGGCGTGATGGCCGTTGCGTTGTCGGCTTGATGCAACGCGGTAGATTCGAGACGGGTGGTTGGCAATCATGGCGCTTTTGCGAGTGAACACGTTGGAATCGATGGACGTGCCGAGGCATCACATGCTGTCGACGGACGACGTGGCAGCGTGCGAAGCGTACTTTGCGTCGAACCCGGTGGAGCTGCCGTCGTTGCCGAAAGACGACCACGCGGCATCATCGACGGACACGTTTGGCGACTCGCTTCGTTTTGTGAACAAGCTGTACAACGCCAAGTTTGGCAAAATCGACGGCCCGTTCCGTCGGCGGGTGCCGTCGCACATGCCGCACTTCATTCAGAAGCACGTGCTCACTGAAATGAAGAGTCAGTGGGCGGCAGAGTTCAACGCGACGTCGAGCCACCGCTTCCGCCACCCCCAGGACATGCAATTCAGCTTTTCGTACATGTACTATGTCGTGAACCGGCACAAGGTGCATCCGCCGACGATTGAAGAGATCTTTGCCACGTACATCGACGTGAATCACGACGGCATGATTGACGAGCACGAAGCATTGAGTGTTGCGTCGCTGCTGACCACAGGTTTGTGATTCCCACGGCACGGAATGAAATGATGGCGTCGTGGGGTAGCCGAACACCCGTCCGAGGCCGACATTGCCGACGTCAAGGCGTGCATTACGCCCAACACGACCGAAACCAAGCGCGAGGAAGTGCGACGGGATGGCAAGGTCACCGTCATCGAGACAATTCAGCCACATTTGACGCTCGACAGTCTGCGCGCGTGTGAGAACGTCACGTCGCGGTTGATTGAGACCGCGACGAAGCGATTGCCGCCGACGCACGCCATGATGTCGGAGAAGCAGGTGGGGGGGCGTCCTGTGGCTCTCTCGCCCACCATGTCGTGCCGTCGTAGGTGACGTTTCATATGCTGAGCGATCAATATCGCACCGCGTGGAACCAACTGCTCAACACGCGGGCAAAACGAACGAAGTTCATCTGCATCAACGACGACATGAAGTTCCCTTCCGTGGCGGTACTTGCCAACGCTTGGTCGAGAGGCTGAACCGGCTGCTCTAGGTCGGTAACATTTTGAACGATTTGTTCACGTCGCTGTGGCCGCACCGGTCGCAATTTGAGCTACCGTACCACTTGAAGAACCGATTTGGACATGTCGACGACCTGGCTGCAGCCGTGCACACGCAGCGACTGGTGCTTGGACTCGTCGTTGCTGCCATCGTTGTCATTATCGTCTTGTACGTGTGCGATCCTCGACAGGAGAGGAGCGGCTTCGAGGCGAATCCTCGGGCAAACGACGACGCCATTGGCGAGGGCCACATGTAATTCACGATATTAGACGTTTGTGTGCACCAACTTTGTCGTGTTGATGGCGGAAGCTGGCGAGTGCTTTAGGTCATGGACGTGGTGCGGTAAGATAGCTTCACCCCGTGCTGGTCCGTACTCGTCCCCGACAAAACCCATCGTGAAATGGAAGCCGTAAATTACATCCTCGTCATCCCGATTGGCAGTACGTGATGCCCTTCTGCACGCTGCGCTTCGGTGGTGGCGCCCTTTGTCGCCTACTCCTGCAACGACTTGCACTCCGCATGGTCGATTCAGCGCGATGACCATGCACATTGTGTTGGCAATCCGTCGAGCGTGCTATCGTGACGTACGTGCAGTCGCCACTGCAGCAGTGGGGGAGGGTCCCGACCTTCGTCGATTGCTTTCCTATGCGATATTTGCCGATGGCAGCGACCGGGTCGGCGCCATGCTGGGTTCATATCGCCAACGTCGCCCAGGCGAACGACAACCCCGAGGGCACAACGTGGACTTCCAAAGTAGGCCAAATTGTCCTTCCACTACAAGATTCAAAGCCTGCGCACGTGCATTTTCTCGGTCGATTTGGCTCTGCCACTTGTTTCGTTCTTCACACCAGTCGCCACCGGTCTCAACAACATGTCCTGCATGTTTCTAACCATCGGCCAAGACACTGCGACGACGTCCTGATCCAATGCTTGTTCACGTATCTGCTTCACGACAGCCTGAGGCTCTCCCAGACTCCAAGGTCGATGTTGACGTGCTCGACCCTTCGTGGCTGCTAGGGCTCGTGTGCGTCGGTTATGCCGCGCATCCCTTGGTTCGATCGAACCCAGTCGACCTCTTCTTTCCTAGCTACCAGTTCAGCTTCAACGGCCGTCTCATCCTTCGCCGCATGAAGGAGGTCGGGAAGGTTGCTAGCTAGTAGTACTAGTAGTTGATGTTTGTGCTCTTTTACAGATATTTTATATAGCTTCCCGCGATAGTTTATATATATTTAACACATTGAATATTCGGTTTCACAGGCTGCATTTTGACAAACTTGCACAACAGCATGGATGCTGCCATCGAGACAGGAGTGATCCACTTCGACGCCGATGCATACATCTGCACAGCATCGGTATGGAGCGAGACGACTCATCAGCATGCGGACTCTTCGAATGCATGTTGTTTTCGCAGGGGAACAAGATTTGCCGGGACTCGACGCTCTGCTGTACGAAGAATATCCTCCTACGAGGCAAAACAATCATCAACGCAGGAACCATTCTACGAGGCGACCTGGCCAAGATATCGCTTGGGAAGTTCTGTGTGATTCGAGAAAAATGCGTGCTGAAACCTCCACCCAAGATGCTACCGAGGTACCGGTCCAATGCACCTGCCTGCAACTCATCCAACGTTGCTTGCAGCGGGCTCATGTTCATCCCACAAACGCTTGGAGATCACGTGTACATCGGAGAAGGGTCCATTGTAGAAGGTGCACGCATTGGATCGTGCGTGCAAATCGGGAAGAACTGTGTCATTGTACGATCCCCACGTTGATCGCAACTTCTAACGGCCCTGACGGTTCGTCCCTTGTGCAGGGAAAGCGAGTGATCATTCGGGATTGCTGCTTCATTGCAGACAACTCTGTCATTCCCCCAGACGAGATCATCCCCCCATTCACGTACGTGAGCGGCATTCCAGGTACAACACCCCGTTGCATTCCTTTCAACCTGCTCACTTCACTGCATGCCCAGCGAACTTGGACAAGGAGCTACCTGAGGCGACACAGGACCTGTTCGTGGGCCAAATCACGCGATACTTTGAAAACTTCCGAGCTCGAAAGAAGTAGATTTGGAAATGTATGACCGACCTTCTACGTTCTTCTCCGTGCGCACACCACATCTAGCGGTTCTAGGTCTCACGACCCCACAAGAGTTTCCCGTCGCAACTCCTTCCCAAACATATCCACAATTATGCTGCGTTGCTCTTCGTATACTTGAAAGTCATGTGAATACCTTGCCTGGTTGTCAAGTGCTATATATAGCCGTACCCCGCGCGCGGCACGGAAAGATCTCGCGGGCGATGTTCTTGGACGAGGCATCTCGCATGCAAAACTTTCGCCAAGTCGGCACAAAAGCCACTGGCCAGCTGAAGAAAGGGGCTGGCATGTCCAGGCAGCACGCGGATGCGTCGGTAAGTTTGGACAACTCGTCGTTCCTGACCATCTCGACAGCGGACGACGTCGTCGATTCCGTCCAAGTTCGAAACGATTCTCAACTTGGGAGAGCGAGAAACAAACGCATTTGGTAGCCGTACGAACCGGTTTGGCGAACCTGAGGTGCGCTACCGCGGCTGTGTTGTCGTCTGGGTGCATGACGATGGTGGCTGCTAGAACGAGCTCCCTGGACCAGGCGCGTACTACAAACCACCGTCGATGGTCGTCACGCATGCAAAATCTGGCTCTGTTTCGAAGAAAGGCATGGGCACTGGCTTTGTATCCAAGGCACACTCGGGCCACCATGGTTTCGTCCCCGTCATGGTGTCTCGCATTAGGTCAAGCGATTCAACGACTCGAACCACGACCCCGTGCCAGGACCTGGGCAGTACACTGCGACGATGTACCGCTCCTAGCGTGCGGGGTCGAGTGGACTTTGACGGGCTGTGACTAGGCTGGAGAAGTCGAATTTCAACCGACGAATTGGACTCAGCAGCTTTGCGCGTGTGGTATGGAAAGGCTTGCATGGATACTCGTTGTGCGACCGCGGTTGGCAGCATCACGGGTTGCTGCAGGAGCGAATGGCGAACCAGTCTGCCGGCAGTGCGCCCGGCCCTGGCGAGTACAACCAGGCAGTAGACGGGTTCGATGCCCGTGTTGAGAAAGGAAGTCGGTCCGTGTTTGCGTCTCGAACGAATCGAGGGTTTGTGCCACGCGCAGAGGGACCAGCGCCAGGTACGACACGAATGTAAACGCATGGAACGAGTTGGTACCTCCACATGATGCGTGGGTGTTTCGATGGATGCCAGGGCAATACGAAAACGTGCTGGCACTGGAGCAAGAGATCCGTCGAGGGCAATCACACGCGCAGAGCATCTTCAAATCGACCGTGCGACGGGTGGAAACGCCCAAGCAGAGTGTTCCAGGTACAGATGCGAGGAGTCATGGATGCATGCCGATGATCGATTGTCTAGGCCCGGGGGCATACAGAGTGGAAGCAGCAGAGCATTGCCTAAGACATGACACGACTGCACAAGCCCAGGCGAGCAGCATGTTCAAGAAAGGAGCGGCCGATCGATTTGGCCGCGCACTCGAGCGGAAAACAGACGTATTTGAAGTCCCCGGTATGATCATGGTCGCCGCTCCATCGCGTGATCCTCCTCGTTGCTTGAGTAGGACCGGGTGCGTATGCAAGCGACCGCGACGAAGCTACGACGTCGTCAACAGTCGCATCGTCTGTGTTTAAGTCCAACGTCAAGAGATCGCAAGGGGAACGAGCGACAAAAGCCCCTGGCCCTGGTACGTCTCTATTCTGCATGTGCAATTCGGCCTCGAACTCAATGCCCAACGTAGCGTTTTACAAACCGAGCAGTCCTGGGAAGAAGTCGCATTTGCTGAATGGGACTAAGAAGTGGCTCTAACGTCATCCCAACCCCACCGGCAATCCATTGACTGCTCACCGAGGCGTCGCGGCCGGCCCATCTTCGCACAGATCGCTCGCTCCACCGCTCGATCGGTTGTGGCAATTGTTTGCGTTCACTCCCGATGGCTCTAATCGCCAGAGTAACGTCCCATGTGGCAAATCGAGGTCGGCAGGTTATATTATTATCTGCAGTTGAGTATGGTCAGCGCAAAGAGTAAATAAATTCGTGGTAAGATCCCACCCACGTGGAACTGTTCGGAGCCGCTGCCACGCGAGGCGAAAAACCCTATTTAAGAATTTACCTTATTGGACCGAGTGGTTCAGCACTTTATCGTGGGATTTCAAAATATGAAAACAGGCCTGTCCAGCACGCAAACTTCCGTTGCCTATGTATGTCGTTTTAGGTGGGTGACCTTCATGTGTGGACAATGGGGCACATTCGGATGTCCTCCCGAGGCTCCAGGATGACGTTTTTACCATTTTGTTCCATCATGGACTGAAAGGGGGGCGGCGTCCACGGAAGTGACGAACCTGGCTTGCAAAGAGTGTTTGTGGTGCACACCGTCAATGTAGTGTCATTTCAGCTTCAGCAAGTGACAAGGTTGAACTGCTAGTAGGACGTATACGATGCTGTCGTTTGCTTTGGCACCATCACGAGGATTAGCGAGCAGGTATGTCTCATCAGTCGACAGCTCAGCCGCCTCCATGACACAATCACGCGTATGAGCGAGCACATGGTACGCCATTAACATTAGATGAACCACCGTTCTTGAGAAGTGTCACACGCCACACAACCTAATCTCGCTGTTGCAGCGCAGCACGACGAGCCTACATTCCTGCATCATTCCGACAGTCAGGTGTATGACGATGGGGACAACGTTGGAGGTCAAAATGCATTTCTTCTCTGTCGGTGGCACCTTCCATTCAACTTCGCGGCAGCGTTTGACAGAGTACCATGCCAACGTTTTATTCAAAAACCCAAATAATGCATGTGATACGTAGCATCCAGTAGAGTGAAGATCGCAGGCATGGGGCGCACCAGACCCTGACCTCATATTTAGGGTATCCAAATTTGTTTAGGGATTTGTCCCAGCGCTTTTACTTGAAGGACACACACTTCGGGCGGCCCAATACAAATTTCAAGTATATTTGGATCTGAGTGAGTTCACATGCCTTCGGCTGACGTTGGCAACACTCGCGCGCGGTCGATGGACATCAGTTTTGAAAATGAGTCCGGGTTCCGACATCCAAGGCGCGCCTTTGATGGAGAACCAAGTGCTACCGCCCATGCGGCGAGGATACACGTCCACGTTGCTGCGGAAGAACTTCTTGCTAAAGAAGAAACACCCGATTAAGTGGGCGCTCGAAGTCCTCCTCCCTGTTGCACTCATCGTGCTGATGGGCGGCCTCAAAACCCTCACAGATGATGTCAAGGTCCCTGATGGCTGGTCCACGGACAAAGCCGCCCCCGACAACGAAAAGATCGGCACGAGCTACTCGCTTTTCCACGTCGACACTATGTTTGGCGTGCCGCTACCCAAATTTTATCAAACGGAAGGCACGGTGTCGGGCTTGTTGTTGCAAATGGCAACGAAGTCGTGGGACTCGCGCAAGGATTCGAAAGGCATGACGGCTGAGCAAAACACAGTGTGTTCCGCCGCTGCCTACTCAGGTCTTGTGAACGCCAACGTTAAGTCCCCGTTCGCGTGGCCTGATATATGCCGTGACAATGTCATTCCTCAGAAACTCGCCATTGCGCCCGACAACGACTTCACGCGCAAATACTTTCTCGAAACTCTGAGTCGTTGGTACCCTCGCGTTCCCCTCGACGCGAACAGCACTCTGGTGGTTCCATCGATCGCCGATTCCGTCATGTTCTTTGCCGACGAAACCGCGCTGGACGCGTACATCACGAATGTCCAGTACGCCAAGAGCTTTGCGACTCCACGCATTGCTGCCGCGATCGTGTTCAAGACGACTCCGACGACCTTGGGCTCAGCTGGCGACATTGATTACAACATCCGCCTCAACTCGACCTTAGGACGCGGTGGGGTTACTGGCGACGTGCCCCGCACGAACCTCGAGCCATTTTTGCCCCTTCAACGCTCCATCAACCCAGACTCGTACACCCGATATGCCAAATCGGGTTTTATGACGTATCAAACCCTCGTGACACGATTTGCACTCTGCATGCCCGACTGGAACGCCGAAACGCGGACGACGACCGGCGCCTGCACGCAAGAAACATCGGTCATGAACGGCACTGCCGTCGACGACATTAAGTTGGTCTCGTCGCAGCTCCAGGCGGATCTGAATGTGTTCTTGTCTGTTATGTCGTACATGAACTCGACCAAGAAGACCTTCAACATCGCGTCGGTACCCGTCGCAGCACTCTCGTCGCTGGCCAAGCCCTTGCGTCAAATGCCGCAACCCGTGGGTGGCGCCTCTGTCTTTGCGTTTCCGATCCAATCGTTCACGTCGTCGCCGTTTTACCAGTCGGTGAAGGACTTTTTCGGCCTCGTGTTTGTGCTTTCGTACTTGCACGCGCTGTCGTCCGTGTTGGTTGCGCTCATCTCGGAGAAAGAGACCAAGGCCCGCGAACTCATGAAGATCCTCGGTGTCCACGAAAGCGCGATCGTCGTGAGCTGGTATATCACGTACGGCGTCATCTTCATTGTGGCAGCCCTCCTGCAGGCAGTTGTGGGCAAGTTCGTCCTGTTTGCCAACTCAAGCGTGCTCCTGCTGTATGTGTTCTTCCTCTTCTTTGGGTGGGCTGTGCTTGCGTATGGGTACATGATCTCTGCGATCTTCTCCAAGTCCCGCACTGGCACGTACATCGGTATGATTGGGTTCTTCGCCATGTATCTCGTCACGGCTGGGTTCAACGACACAACCACCGCCAAGTCCAAAGCGATCGCGTGCTTATTTGCGCCCGCGGCGTTGACGTTCGGTGTGAAGAGCTTGGCCGAGTCGGAGGCGAGCGGGATCGGAATCACCAGTGCCAACGCGGGCGACGAAATCAACAACTTCAAGTTTACGACCGCGATCGTGTTTCTCTTCATCGACGTGATCTGGTACACGCTCATGGGGTTGTACTTTGAGCGCGTGGTGCCAAAAGACTATGGTGTGACGGAGAAATGGTATTTCGTCGTGTCGCCGTCATACTGGCGCAAGAAGTGGACGAAGAAAACGCCGACGGCCAAAGCGGTGCCTGTGGACGCGACTGTTGCGCTTGACGTGAACAGCGACAACATCGAGAGCGTTGGGATGGACCTCAAGCAGCAGGAAGCCACGGGTGACGCACTCCAAATCCAAAACCTCCGTCGTGTGTTCAGTGTGCCGGGCGGCGAGAAAGTCGCCGTGAAAGGCATGAACTTGACCATGTACAAGAACCAGATCACGTGCTTGCTCGGCCACAATGGCGCTGGCAAAACGACGCTCATCTCGATGTTGACTGGGATGATTCCAGTGTCGAGCGGTGATGCCACGATCAACGGGCTCACTCTCAGCGAAGACTTGGGTGACATTCGCCGATCCTTGGGCATGTGCCCACAGCACGATGTTCTGTATGCAGAACTCACAGTGTACGAACACTTGATCTTTTACGGACGCATCAAGGGGTACCGCGGCAAGGCGTTGGAGGACGAGGTCGAGCACAAGATCAACGAAGTCGGTTTGACCGAGAAGCGCCACGTCCGGTCGACGGAACTTTCTGGCGGGATGAAGCGCAAGTTGAGTTTGGCAATTGCGTTGCTCGGAGACAGCAAGATCGTGTTTCTGGACGAGCCGACGTCCGGGATGGACCCGTACAGTCGTCGTAGCAGTTGGGAGATCATCATGAACAACCGATACAACCGCATTGTGGTGCTGACGACGCACTTCATGGACGAAGCGGACATTTTGGGCGACCGCATTGCGATCATGGCGGAGGGGGAGCTCCGGTGCTGCGGGTCTTCCCTCTTCTTGAAGAACCGGTACGGCGCCGGGTACAACTTTTCCCTGGTCAAGACTGAACGATGCAACACCCCCGCATTGATCGAGTTTGTCCAGCGCCACATTGGGGACGCCACCAAGGTCTTGAGCAATGTTGGGACGGAAATCTCGTTCCAGTTGCCGCTGGACTGCTCGCACTTGTTTACCCACATGTTTGCCGAGCTCGACAACCAACTGGAGGTCCTCGGCGTGCTGTCGTACGGCATCTCGGTGACGACGATGGAGGAGGTGTTTATCAAGGTAGCTGAAATTGGCGACGTGAGCCAGCAGCACACGTTGCAGAAGAAGGACCCCACGACGACGCAAGCCGCGTCCAACTCTGGCAGCGCTGGCTTCAAATTGGCCGAGCAAGCGCCAAATTCGGCACTCACCATGTTTTTCATCCACTTTCGAGCACTTTTCAAGAAGCGCGTCCGCACAGCCAAGCGTGACAAGCGTGTTGTCATGTTCGGGACGGTGCTCCCCATTGTGTTTCTCGTGCTTGGGATTGCTTTGTTGAAGGCGAGTTCGCTGACGCGAAACGACCCGGGCTTGCTGCTCAACACGGCCCCATACCCCCTGAAAGAAAACACCCCTGTGCCGTACATGTGCCAGTCCGATTGGATGTGCGATGCTGTGAACCAAATCTCGACGGCAAAACCCCAAGCGATTCTTGGGCTGGACAAGCAAGTGTATTCGCCTGAACCAACCGTGTTTGGCGTCAAGTACACCAACCTCACGGGGGCCGACACAAACAGCTACAATGTCCGCACCGGCGACGAAATCTTCCAGCGCGGGTACGGCAAGTCTGGCGATGGTCCTGTTGTTGGCCAGTATGGTGGTTACGTTCTCTTGGGCGATTCCAAGACTCGATCGTTTGGGTACAATTTAGCGGTCAACACAACGGCCGTGCACGCCGCCATTGTCCACAAAGCGCTCATGGACGAAGCACTGTATCGAACCGTGACTGCCAACTCCAATGTGAAACTCACGTGCACAAACTTGCCGCTGCCGTTGACCGACTCGACCAAGATTCTATTCACGACGATCGTGTCATTCACGACGTCCGTGTTTGTGGTGCTGGCGTTCGCGTACTTTACAGCGTCCGTCGTGCCATACCTGGTCAACGAAAAACACCCGAGCCACAACTCCAAGCACCAGCAACTTGTGTCCGGCGTGAGTTTGCCGGCCTTTTGGCTCGCCAACTTTGCGTGGGACTTGCTCTTGTACTCCGTGCCGTGCGTGTTCGGTCTGATGGCGATCTACTTTTTCGACATTACACCTTTCACGGGACGCGAGTGCTCGTCGTGCGCCGGGTCTCCGTTCGCCGCGCTCATCGTGATCTTCGTCCTTTTTGGGTTTGCCATCGTGTCATTCTGTTACATCTTGTCGTACTTGTTCACGGATGCCGCGTCGTCCCAGACGTACATCATCATGACGCACTTCATGGACGAAGCGGACATTTTGGGCGACCGCATTGCGATCATGGCGGAGGGGGAGCTCCGGTGCTGCGGGTCTTCCCTCTTCTTGAAGAACCGGTACGGCGCCGGGTACAACTTTTCCCTGGTCAAGACTGAACGATGCAACACCCCCGCATTGATCGAGTTTGTCCAGCGCCACATTGGGGACGCCACCAAGGTCTTGAGCAATGTTGGGACGGAAATCTCGTTCCAGTTGCCGCTGGACTGCTCGCACTTGTTTGCCCACATGTTTGCCGAGCTCGACAACCAACTGGAGGTCCTCGGCGTGCTGTCGTACGGCATCTCGGTGACGACGATGGAGGAGGTGTTTATCAAGGTAGCTGAAATTGGCGACGTGAGCCAGCAGCACACGTTGCATCCCCGCCAACACAAACAAATTGATGTGAAGTCTGAACAATTCGAGCTGCAACGACCACGTTTCGTCGACCACTTCCGCGCGCTCTTTCTCAAGCGGCTGCGTACGGCCAAGCGAGACAAGCGCGTGGTGTTGTTTGGCGCTTTGCTTCCGATCTTGTTCATGACGCTCGGCGTCGTCCTTCTCAAGTACAGCTCGCTGACGAAGAACGACTTGGTGTTGGATGTCGACACAAGTGGCTACCCCCAGGGCGGGGCGAGCCCGACGCCGTACTTCTGCACAGGGAACGACAACCAGTGCACCTCCATCTTCTCCAAACTTCGAGGAGGCATCGCACAACGCGTCGCGATTGCTCAATTGCCGGTGTACCCGTCGAACACGCCGACCGTGTTCAACATCTCGTACACGAATCCGAGCATCAACGCGTCCGACACTACGGGGTTTTGTCTGCGCGCTGCCGAGGAAGCATTCCAACTAGGCCATGGCGCCGCCAAACTCCAAGGCCAGTACGGAGGATTCGTGGCGCAGTCCCTTCCGTCACTCAGCGTGTTTGGGTACAACCTCATGGTCAACACCACCGCAACGCACTCGGCCATCGTGTTCAAGGCATTAATCGACGACGCCTTGGTGCAGTCGTTTGCGTCCAAGGAATCGGTCTACTTGAGGGTGACCAACCATCCGCTTCCACTCACGTCGGCGTCCAAGATGCTCTTCACCACGTTCTTGTCGTTCATCGCGACGATCTTCATCGCGATCGCGTTCGCGTTCTTTACAGCGTCCGTCGTGCCGTACCTGGTCCACGAAAAGCACCCGAGCCACAACTCCAAACACCAGCAGCTCGTGTCCGGCGTGAGTTTGCCGGCCTTTTGGCTCGCCACGTACGCATGGGACATGCTCTTTTACTCGATTCCGTGTGGGTTTGGCCTTCTCGTGAT